TTTTTATTAAAAAAATTAAACTTTTTAATAAAAACACAGGCAAATTTGCCTGTGTTACAATTTAAGGGATAGTATATATGAACTTGCAATAAATAAAAAAGCAATTTATATTTATTTCTTATTTATTATTATGAAATATATTTACTTATTTAGCAATATGCAAATCACTAAGTTATTCACCAAAGTATCAATTTAATAATGCTTAATCTCTATTACCCACCAAAGCATCAATTTAGCAATGCTTAATAAACCTCTAAGTTATCTACCAAAGCATCAACATTGAATTCTGTATTACCATGATCTTCTTCAAATTCGGTTTCGACTAATTTAGAATTATTGCTATCTAGAGGCTGTACTATGAAATTCGATAAACTTAAATCCATTGTATTACCAATAATTAGCAATTTATTTTCGATTGAAATTGTATCATTTCTAATTTCCTTATCTAGTATAAAAAGTTCCTTAGTTCATCTATTATAGTTATATCATTTTCGTCCTCATCTTTCAATTCCATTGATATTGTTGCATTTAAAACTTTTTGCTGCAATTTTAAATCTAATGTTGCATGTGTAAGTTTGGTATCAGTATTTGAAATATAATAGGAATATATCTTTGCTATATCCTCAAATGTTGTAATATTTATTAAATTATAATAAAGATAAATGAAAATAAAAATAATTATTTATTTGATATAATAATAATCTAATAATAGTTTACTTTCTTTGACTATAAAACTATTGAAGGACAGAAAAAGTTTTTTCATATCCAGCATTGTGTGGCATAATTGCCAAAATTTTTAATGCTAAACATGATAAATAATTAGGCTGGTCATCACAATATTGCCACCAATTAATTAGTGTATCAGTTTCATTATCCCAGCAATTATTATATGGTTTCATAAATTTACGATAATTTTTCATCTGATTAAGTAAAACTTTTGCTAATTTATTTTCACCACCTAATGATTTCCAAATATTAATAGCTGCTTTAGCTATAATTCAAAATCTACCAATTTGTAATCTAGCTCCTAAAATAATATAAAATATATGTATAAATAAAAATTTATTATTTTTTTTTTTTGGTATTAAGGTGATCTCTTTGGTCTGGGAAACTTTTTATTAGAGTATAGACGAAGTTTTATATGTAAT